ATGGATCCATTTTGGAATGGATCACATTTAGGGATAAATACAAATATCTGATTAATTCAAACACTCAATTATCGCAGATAGATAAGATGTTGCATCATTAACCAAGGATGCCAGAAAGGTTATTGAATCGATTGAGCTGACCGACGCAAACCACGCCGTTCCGTGGCAGTTGTTGGAGAAGCGGTTTGACAACAAAAAGTTAGTTGTTAAAACTTACATAGATTCACTTTTCACAATTGAAATGATGCGAGTCCCTTATGCGTCTTATCGACGATTTTGAGCGCAATTTGTGCCTAATCAACAAACTGGGCGTCCAAACGGATGGTTGGAGTGTGCTTCTATCCCACATGATCTGCTGTCGTCTTGATTCGTTCACCCCAAGGCAATGGGAAGCTCATCACAAATCTACTGAGGTCCCACAGTATCGGGAGCTTATCGATTTCCTGCGTACACATTTAATGGTTCTCCAGTCGTTGGCACCTTTGAAGTTTCGCTCATCTGATTCGCAGAAAGCCGTTGAAATCAACGAAGGTTAATACAATCCACACCATTACTAATTCGACGCCTGGTTTCTGTTCGTTCTGTTCGAAGTCTCCATACTCACCATTCAAGTGTGGCGTGTTCCAGAAGCTGGCCGTTTCCCAATGATTTGACCAAGTGAAGAAAAAGAATCTTTGCATTAATTGTTTGTCCTCCTCTCATCTTTTGAAGGGCTGTTCGTCCTGCGGTTGGAGGGGTTGCAACCAGAAGAACCATACTATGCTACACCAACCTCCTAGCGATCGTTTGTCATTACAACAAAAACCCAATATAATTTTCGTTTCTGGTTCGAATTCCTCATTCTCGAACCAAACGAATTCCTCGAATTAGTCTTCTTCGCAATCTCGGTTGAATTTTGAATCGATTGAATCCCAGTCACCCTCAACCTCTGCCCAAACAACTAGCCTTGTTTCCACCACTCTCGTTGAAAGCACCCAAACCGTTCCTGCTACTGTTCTGCTGCAAACCGCAATCGTCAAGGTTTTCGGTTTCGATGGAGATGCCCAATGGGACAGAGCGTTGTTGGATCCTGCATCGAAACTTTGCATAGTCACCGAGAATATGGTTCAGAAGCTGCAGTTAAGTCGCTATCCTTATCGTCGAGAAATTGGAGGCATTGGCAACACTCTCGTCGTATCGTATCACGCTGCTGATGTTAGGATAGGGTCCCATTGCACCAAATATACTGTCGAAGAACCTGTCACATACTGAAGAAGATCACCCGTGAGCTTTCTGTCAACGTGGTTGATTCTTCCTGCTGGAACGTTCCATCTGGAATCACACTAGCAGATCCCAACTTCCATGAACCGGGACCAATAGATCTTCCAATAGATTTAGAACTGGTCCTAGAAGGATTCATCAAGCTGGGTCCTGAAAAGCCAGTTTTACAAAATACCGTTTTTGGCTGGGTAGCATCCGGTAAGATAGGGATTTATCATTCCCGTAACCAACTCAAAGTGGCTCACGTGTGCAGCCCAGAACCACTAGATAGTCACTTTCAACACTCTTCCGTCGTACTACCTGCCTCATCATGGCGTCGAGAAAGCTGATTGCACAACCACTAAATTGAGGGTAGTGTTCGATGCCTCTTGTCGGACGGACAGCGGAGTATCGCTTAATCAGGCGCGAATGGTTGCCGATTGCGAAAAAATGTACCGGCAACTTCTTCTTCACCCTGTTGACTGTCCACTACATCGCATTCGCTGGCGTTTCTCTTCCTCAGAACCGCTGAAAACCTTCGAGCTTACCACCGTCACCTACGGCACTGCCTCGGCGCCATATTTGGCTGCTAGGTGTCTTCTGGAGCTGTCTAAGCAAGGAGCTGATCTGTATCCTCATGCTGCTCTAGTCCTCTCGAAGGATTTTTATATGGACGATATGCTGACTGTGCAAACAGTTGCGAAATTGTGCAAACAGTTACGAAATCTGCAGAAATCTTCCGGGCTTAGCTTACGCAAATGTGCGTCCAACTCGACGGGCATCCTTTCGATCATACCACCCAAACTACGTGAAGAACGAGTAGTCCTTGCGTTGGATTCACCATCGACTATCAAAACCCTTGGACTAATATGGGAACCATAAACAGATTTGTTTCACTATTCCGTTCCCAAGTGGTCTCAATCGGACACAATCACCAGGCGCACTGTATTATCAGATACAGCAAAACTTTTCGATCCGCTTGGGCTGATTGGACCAGTGATAGTTCTAGCAAAAATCTTTGTTCAATCTCCCTGCGAACGTCTTGGGATGATCATCTCGACGAAAATAAACAGCAGCATTGGCTTTCCTTTCGTTGCAGTCTAAATGCACTTTCTTCAATCCCCGTACCTCGGTGGGCAGCACTTGCTACTGCACCCGTTAACATAGAACTTTATGGGTTTTGCGCTGCGTCGGAACGTGCTTACAGTGCCTGCCTATATGTTCGTACCGTTTCTAATGATGAAAGCATTTCGGTTCGTCTGCTGACTACGAAATCCAAGGTGGCACCTCTCGGAGATTCGAAGAAGCAGAAAAAGGTTAGTCCTCCCAGGTTGAAGTTGTCTGCGGCTCTTCTCTTGAGCCACTTGTACCACAAGGTGAACTCTAGCATCGCACTGAACTCTCAACCATTCTTCTGGTCGGACTCAACGATCACACTCCACTGGATCAACTCGGTTCCGTCAAGGTGGAAAACTTTTGTTGCGAATCGAGTATCGGAAGTGCAACATCTAACAACCAATGGTGTCTGGGCTCACGTTTCGGGTATGGATAATCCAGCGGACATAATCTCTCGTGGAATTGAAGCAAGTCAGTTAGAGGAGTCGTCAGCCTGGTGGACGGGACCATCCTGGCTGCAACAACCATCCCGTTTCTGGCCTCCAGTCCTCCAAAGTGGCCTGCCTGAACTGACAGTGGAATCCCTCGAAGAACGATCGATATCGTTACCGGTCAGAGTTCACGAATCGAATGAAATATTCGGTCTACGCTCTACATTCCGTTCTCTACTTCGAATCTCTGAGATACTTCGTCGATTCATGCACAACTTTATACCGGAAAATCGATCTTCGCAAATATCAACCAACAAAATGCTATGGGGCAATTTTCATCTGCATTGTCACAAAAGCCATCCACATTGAGCTGGTTTACGATCTGTCGACAGCCGCCTTCATCGCGACAATACACCGTTTTATGTCTCGGAGAGGAAAACCACACATAATCCACTGTGACAACGCCCAAAACTTCAAGGGAACCCTCCGAGAGTTAGCAGAGCTGCGCAAAAAATTCTACTCGCAACAAAATAAAGCAGCAATGGTAAATCGTTGCGTTGGCGACGGGATCCAATTCAAATTCATACCACCCTGCAGTCCCAACTTTCCAGTGCCTGCGGGCCTCTAACCCCTGTAAGTATTTTTTTTCATTAAAATTTCAAAAAGTTGAAGATTTTTTTGTTCTCCTATATGCACCCTCGATCCATCGATGCCGACTCCAACCCCAACCACGAGTGCGCCCAACCAAGTGATGACCATCGAAAGCCGGTTACTATGACGATGACATCAATAGCAACGACCAACGATCGAGTACTGGTAGAGGAAACAGCTGATCAAGGATCAGACCGTGCGAAGGTCAACGACCCTTGCCGAGCAAAAGGATAATCAAAACAAACGACGTGGAGAGCGATCGACAACAACGAAGACGACCACACTCAAAAAATTTATCACATATCTAATGGATGAAAACCATGTGAATTTCACATAGCTTTCATGTGATCACATAGCTAAAAATCCCACCACAAAATCACATGAATATTATGCGGCCGATGAAATTCATATGAAAAATCATATAAAATTAACGTGATCGCATAAATGTTATGTGAAATTCAGATGAATTCCATTAATTTTGTTTATGGAAGAAAATCATTTGCGTTTCCAATGGAAGCTACATGACAACTATTTTCGGTGCAGATCATCCTTTATCATTTCACCTTCATGTCGGTTGAAAGGCTTCACCTTTCAACGGAGGCCAGCATATGTTAACGCAAACCCTAGCAATGGATACTCCTTAGTATATAAGACCTATATTGATCACACTCGATCACTTGCGATCAATACCAAGAATGTACTCTTCCTTATCATTAGCCTTCGGATAACGAGAGAAGAGAATCTTGAATATGCCTTTTGCTCTCTTATCAATCCACTGAATTCGCATATATTACTATACTCCGTGTAACGCGCGCGCTCGGTCACCCTATCGCACCTCTTGCCCACAGACTGGTAATGGGTGCAGTTGATATACTACAAATGTTTGTAAATATTGTAAACACACTTGAACTATTGACGTTATTTAATGTATTTTTCGTCTTGCATTTATCGAAAATGAAATTCACTATCAGTGACACTGTTCACGAATAGAATCCTCGCGTGATTATTTCTAATTCCCCTTCGTGTTAACTGCATCCCGGGTCCTGAGTATCGGCCAATCTATCCTGGCTTCAAAAGAGACATTTCTTTATAAAATCCGTAAGTAGCAACTTAACGACAAATCAAAAAATGATTAATAATGTTAGGAGTAAATAAAAAAAAATATATCTTAGATTTTTATTCCCCGATTCAGGGTTATGAGGCTCAGGTTTTTGTTTACCTGGATGACGTCACCTCTGAAACGTTAGAAGAACACTTGAAATTATTGAAAATGGTAGCGGAACGACTGAGTAGAGCAAACTTGTCCATAAGTATGGAAAAGTCCTAAAAAATCCATAAACGAATTTCCTATTTAGCATATATTTTGTCAGAGATCGATAGATAGTTCAAAACTAGAACCGATTCTTAGCTATCCCTCGCCAACAACGTTAAAACAAGCGATTTATACCAAACTACAGTACCATCCTGACACTAATCACGAACCTACTAAATAAGTTGAAAACTAAACTTATTGGGCCTGAAGAGGCAGACAAATCATTTAATGAAATAAAAAAGTGTACTCACTTCTCCACCAATCCTGAAGAATCCAGATTTTAATAGAATCTGACGCTTGTTTAGTGGTAGCGGAAACAGTTCTGGTACAGCATCTCTAATGAATGTAGGCGCCCAATCTCATTCTTTTCAAATATGTTTCTTCAACTCAGAGGAAGTAATCTGCAACGGGACACTAATGCCTGGCTGTAGATTTGGCCATTGGAAAATTCCGCCATTACGTAGGGGGTACTCATTTATAACTGGACGCGCAATCCTTGAAATAGTTAAATAAAGTAAGCGTCGAGGGCATCTCCGCACGACTTGTTGGATGGGCCCTTAAACTGCAGCAGCATGATATAGTTCTAGAATACACAAAGGGAAATTAAATATTTTAGCACACGCGTTATCAAGAGCAGTAAATGAGGTAGATGTACTTACGGTGGACTTGAACATCAAAGTCAATTCTGCAAGTCAGCTGCACTTCAAAAGATCCTCGTTTTGAGTTGATATGCCGCCAAAAGCTGATCCTATTCAGATCCTCGAAGACGAGCACAGTGTAACCCACTTTGGGTACTACAAAACGATGAGGGAAATCCGGGAAAAGCACTATTGGCCGCATATGTGTGAGAAACTGCAAAACGGCGAAACATCCACCTCAAATTGGGTCGTCCGAGAATAGCGTCGATGCCATGGCAAGTTGTGTCCATCGACTATATGGGTCCATTCCCACGGTCTAAAAGTTCAACACAACGCTGGGAGTCGTCACCTCTCACTTCGAAAAGTGTGTGGTCAAACAACCCATGTTTGTTTTTGGCATTCCGGAGCGGCTCACAGTTCAACCTTTTTGCTACTTGGTTGTCCAACAAATAATCCGACCGAACGGGTGAGTCGGGCTTTGGTGCAGCGATCAGAACGTACCTAAAAGAAAAAAAAAAAACAAACAGATCAGGATGAGAACCTACAGAAAATGCTTTATTTTTGTCAATTATGGAAGGAACTATATTAGCTCCGGAGACAAATAATCAAGAATGAACGAATTTGGAGAGAATGTGAATAATGAACCAAAGGAATTAAGTGATGAACAAAAGGAAATCTTCGAAAAAGCATACGAAAAATACGGGAAGTATTATAATTTGAGATCCACTGTAGAACCTATCGAATTTAAGGTGGGGAAACTGTATTGAAGAAAAACTATTTCCTTTCCAATAAAGCAAAAACTTTCAACGCAAAGCTGACAGACACGTATTCTCCTGCAAACACTATTATTCCTAAACTAGGTTCGAATTGTTATAAACTAGAGGATGTAAACGGACACAAACTAGGATTGCACAGATCAGCTGATCAGCAACATCCGGAATTAAAACGACTAAATCCTCATCACATTTTAACCACTAGGAATTCCGGCTGATTTGTAGATTCTAATAAGTACTCACCAGCAAGCACACTCCTGGTAAAAAATCACCTGACCTGTACAAGGAAGACCTCAACCATCCTACACCATTGTCCTTTACATTTTTATCAGTGTATGATGCGTCGTGAAAAAAGTTGACATTTCTATGAAGAAGAAAACATGCACGCCTACGTTGATCAAATTTTCCGATTTTCACGATTTTCACCCACTGCGCATCCCTTCCATAGTCGCTACCATAGCAACACCCTCGTAACTAAATTTTCACACGCCAGAAGTCTATATAAGGAAGCCTGCTGCTAAAAATCGTTAAGAGGCTTCTGAGGTGAATTCAAAGCGGACGTACGTTTGATAGCTCTCCCAATTTCTCCAATCAAGGCGGTTCAAGAAAAAATGTTTCCCAGTAAGATGAAAAATGGCCGCGATGCTCGGCAGACCCGGTCCAGTCGGAATGTTAGACCGGTGTCTTTGCCGGATTTCATGCGTGCCGACCCGGATGGTAAGCTAACGGCCATTTACCAGCGTATAAAAGCGGCTTCTTCAAAGCCGAAGCTGCCAAAAAGGCAGGATCGCTGGGAAATGCTTAAAAACTTACCGGTAACCGATGAGTATGACAATGTAAGGTCATCGGTCGGTGAGTATATCCGGGGGCCGTTTTTAGCATCTACTAGGAAACTAATGATTGGTGAGGGATTTGAGAGGAGCGGAATTACCCAGAATGCCTCAATCGCGGATAATGTTAAGGAAGATTTAGGTGATAATTGTGAGAGAGTAGGGTTAGAAATAAATGATGAATTAGGAGATAAGGTGGAAGAAAAGAAACTAAATTTTTGTGAGGAATTTAGGTGCAGCAGAGCCGATGTAGATTCGGTTCTGACAGCAGGAATAGCCAGGGTACAGCAATGTACGACAACGGTAGCAGTGTTTGAAGCATACGCCAAGACACACCATGAACTTTTGGAGCGTGTGACGTATGTAGCGGACACTGCTAACGTTTATACGCAAACTACTTCTCCCAAACTGCAGCGTACTCAGTTGAATTTTGTGTATGCTGGATTTTGGGAGCACTGTACCCTGCGAGAAAATACAGGCATGCAAACCGAGGATGATCAAAATTTGACAGTTTCAAAGCAGCCTACTGTGCTGCTTGAAAAAATTTCCAGTGGGCCCAACCCAAATTTGGTAAAGAGAATGTTTAGCTGGAAATGTTTAGGATTGACTTTTTTGGTTTCGGCCATGGCCCTCGGTTTAATGGAAATTTCAAATTTCGTCTAGTAGTTTGGTATTCTTTTTTGTTATCAGATCGAGCTCACTGGTGGTCCAACGAATTTCATTAAAATTTCTTAGCTTCTCCGAGGTTTCCTGACGAGTAAAGGTGTTGTAGCCGGGTACTAATGAATACCTCGAGCTACCATTTTTACTACGAAGATTCCTCGGAACCCATTGACACCGGATAGGGACTTTTTGGTGAATAAAATTCGTTTAGGGACCGTGCTTTCGAGCAAACCAATCGATGTGGCAGAATGCTATCATCGAAGATCTTTTTGTTTATGGAGTTCGAAGGACCACTACCGTGAGCTCGATCGTTGCATTTCAGAGTAGTAGTGATAGGGTTTAGATATAGTACCATATTTGTAGAAAAAAAATCAGTTAGATTGATAGGAGCTAGGGCAGGAGCACATATGTGATTGGCAGGGAATGTGGTGGGAGTTTAAAGGTACTGAAAAGTCAACCCTTTTGATGATTTTGATTGAAACTGAAAATCAGTTTCGATCGAAATTAGTAATAGAGGTGACTTTTCAGTACATTTAACGGGGCTTATCACATATGTGCTCCTTTTAGCTTGTTAGTTAGCTACCTCAAAATTTACCATTCACTTATAGTAGCTAGCTAGTAGAAAGAGTAGTATCATATTTCCCGGATTTTAATTTGAGATTGGGCCATTGATCAGTTTAACGTTTTCGGCAATATTTTCGTTTAAGAATTTTAAAAATAAGAAAGCTTTAAAAAATATATTGAAATGGGAATAATTTCTTCTTTGAGTGTTGATTGCGTTGTTTTATTTATTTTTTGTTTTTATCTTTTTTGTTTGCTTATTGTTGTTTTTTTAATATGATATTTGAATAAAGAAGACAATATTCCCATTAGCAAAATTTTGAATAAAGACATAACTTTTTCCGTTTTGAAAGCACATGATTTCATACTTTCATGTAAATGGTCCATTTTGGAAAATTAAGCTCCGGGAAATGTGATACCACCCTGAGAAGCATTTTTAATCAGTTAGGAGCTAGAACAGGAGCACATATGTGATTGGCAGGGTTTGTGGCGGGAGTTTAAGGGTACTGGATACTTTGTTCAGTACTTTTAACGGGGCCTCTCACATATGTGCTCCTTTATTCTTGAAACAAAGGATAGAAAGTAGATAGTTTGAGTGAAACTGTATTTAGTAGAAAAGAGCTAGGGTCGGAACAATAATTTAATGAGCAGGAAATGGAGTTCCATTTTTTTTTGTCGTTGTCAATTAAAATTTGTGCATTTCAGGGTACTATTTTCAAGTAAAAAATAATCCCATCCCATCTTTTGTATGAATGAAAGTGTATCAATTAAGCGGTGTTGCTTAATTTGGTTGAATTAAGTGTTTAAGGCTTCAAAAGATCCTGTTGACAAATGATAATTCAAATAGTATTACAAAACTAAAGCTAACCAAGACACCATTGTGGAATGCTCTTCGGCAGGGGAACTATGCCATTAGCGCGAAGCATTTTTAAACCACTGATGCTGGCGCCAACTAGTATTGTCTTTACTATCTGGTTATCACTTGGTTCAATAGGATCAGATCCACCGTGATCACAAGATGGGTAAGTGTGTCAGATTTTGATCAGGAGGTAAGATCGATTCTACGTTTGATCGCATTCTTACTGGAGAAAATTATAAACATGGATTGCCACTATATCTTGTTCAGACCTCATACCAATTTGACGCTATACATCAGTTTAAGATAAATCCAATAAATTTGAATTTAACAACATTAAATTTCAGATGACGACGTTTCGTTTGAGCTTATTGTCAAAACCATCAAACCCAATCTCGTAAGTTCAATGTTAAAACTGGTGCACAATGGCAATGCATAAAATCGGTGAGTAAATAACCTAGCTCTTACGTGAAGAAATGGAAGGACGAATGTCTAAGGTCGCACCTTTGAAACAAATAACTAAGCCCAGATTTGAGCTTTTCGTAGCACTAGAGAGGGTCTAGGATAAGAAAGAAGCGGACTGGTTGATTTTAAGCCAACCCAACTGTCAAAGCCAGAACCAATCGAGCAACGCACATTTTGATTGAAATGACAGTGTTGGTAGAAACCACTTAGGCATAGGGTGCCAAGGTCGTTTGTTTTGAATACGTTTCTCTCTTATCTTAAAACCCCTCTCTAAGTAGCACCTTTGGCTGTTGCGCTATAATAATAAAGGAAGTCGTACCTTCGTCAGTCAAGATGCTGTTTAAACGAGAGATGCTCCGGTTCGACAGTCAACATTGTTCGGGTGGCTTGAATGTCCAAGTTCTGGATCAGCTTCAATGAACTTCAACTGGAAATGGAGAAGCGTTTAGACAAGACTTGGTTGTAAATTTTTTTTATCTGAAGGTGTTTCCTAGCATTATATAAGAATTTAATTTATGAATAACCCTCCTGAGGTGATGATTACATGCGTAACCTGCAATCCAACTCTAGTGAGTGTAGGGTTACCATATGGTTTCCTAAAGGAGGACATGTCCTACTTTTCCAATAATTTTTCTACATCCTCCTTTTGCACGAAAATGTCCTCCTTTTAAATCCTTGCATTTTTTTTCCAGTAACATATTCATAAAATTGTTTTCAACGAGCGTTATTTGCAGAGCTTAATCGTTTAATTATGCCACAACCTCATCTTATCCAGCAAAAGCCATTCGGGTATATAAGACCTATTTTGATCTCACTCGATCTCTTGCGATCAATACCACAATGTACCCTTCCTTATCATTAGTCTTCGGATAACGAGAGAAGAGAATTTTGAATAGGCCTTTTGCTCTCTTATCAATCCACTGAATTCGCATTTATTACTATTACACGAACCAGAATTGTATCAGTCAAAAATAAACCTAAAATTAGAGGTGTGTAATAAATACAATTGAAGTTAAATAAAGTAACCTTTCTCTAAACGATAATTCAGTCGCGATTTTTCTAGTGTCTAATCCGAGCGTCTCGTAAGTGCCCGCGTCAACATTGTTGGTCCTTCGAGCCGGATCAACCATGAGAAATGCGGACCATAGTGCAATAATTGAAGCAATTAGGATCGCGCGTGAGTTTTCGATCACAGTTCTACTGTATAGAGCCTGTGGATCAACGCGGGTCAAAGTTAAAAGAACAATAAGTGCGCGGAAGATCACGTAATTAAACGTGATCTCGGAAGAATTTTGTAATCATTGGGAGTTTGTCGGTCTACGAGGGAGAAAGCTCCAGGCAAGCAGACGGACA